AATTAAAAGTTATGTAGAAAGTAGTAGCAAGGTCCACCCCCACTGTTAATATTGAATGATTCTTTTTAATTTCCTATAAAGGAAATTGCATTATTTCACTCTGTTTTTCTCCATCTCTTTACATGGACTATATCTGACTTCATTTAGATCTGTTTAAATATTATATCATTTGAATATTTTATCTTTCCCTGTACACAAAACAATATTTTCACTACATCACCTTCATCAGCTACACTTCTTTACTTTTTTCTTTACATTATATTACACTTCATATTGTTGTCTATGTTTTACTTCCTCAAAAATTATGAATTAATATTATTTAGTGACTACTATATAAATGGATCAATTTATTTTATTTTTATTATTTTTTTTAAATTTTACATATCAATCCCAGTTCCCTCTCCCTCCCTCCTTCCCATGCCTCCTGACTCTCCTGCCATCCAATCCCCCCCCCCACTCCACAGGGAGGATGATCAACTAAATCTGTTAAGTCATTATGAGTAGGAACTAGGCCCTCCCTCTTGCCTCTAGGATAAGGGTGTATCCTTCCATTGGAAATGTGCTCCCAAAGTCCTTTCATGGACCAGGGCTATGTTAATTCTACATGGATCAATTTAAACATGCTATATACATTTATACATTACATTATAAGGGGTATACTACCATATTCCAGTTTTTTTTTTTCAGATAAAAAAATAAATTTTTAAGAATCTTTTGTCCCTGCAAGAAGATCATGTTGTTTTTCCCCCTGGTTTCAATGTCCTCTATTATTGATAATATTGATTTATGTAAGTTGAGCTATTTTTGAATTCCTGATAAATTCAACATGACCACAATATATGAACTTTTCAATATGGACTGTCCCTAAAATAAACATGCAGACCTGTGAAAAAGAAGAGTCAGATATTATGCAATCACTCTGTACAATGTTGCTAGTTGATTCCTTGCTGTTCCAGAATTTGAACTCTTTCACTCTAACCTCATAAGAAATCATTTTGACCACTCTAGGTGTTATTGCAAAGCATAAGTTTATTATATAAAAAGACAATTAGTTTCTCATTTAATATTAATAAAGAAGCAAAATCAAATGTAAAGACAATATTTACCAGTATAAATTATCAAATAAACACTCAATATAAATCTGATTGAATATATATAAGATCAAAATGAAGAAAGCTAAATACCTCTAACAAATAAAATAAAAAATAAATTAAGTGGATTAATTAGTCCGTAAGGTATGAACTAGTTGTTCTACTTCCATTGATATGATCATGTGGTTTTTCTATGTGTTATGTGGTTTTAAGTGTGTTATGAATTGCTTTAATTGGCATCAATAAAAATGAAATTTAGTTGTGGTTCATAACTCTTTCTATACATTGTTGGATTTGATTCTCTTGAGCATTTTGAGTGTAGTCAGTGAATATTTTTAAAATAATTATAACATATTACAAGAAGTTTGGTTTTCTATAGACAGCTTGTTACATTTTATATTCCCTTCTGACTACTTATGTTCTGAATCTCTGAAGTGCTCAGAATTTGTACAAAGCACTCTAAGTTTTGGGATGTCCCATTCATTATTAAATCATGTCAAAATGAACGAAAATTGAACTATATTGTTGGTGAAAAATGGCAAAACTCATTCCAATAAGGAGCTCTGGTGTTACTTCATGGTTACATTTTGGAGGACTAGAAGAATATTTACACAAGCAACCACACATTTACTAGATTGAGATCAAGGAACAGGAACAGATTTCCAAAACTCTCATAGATCTTATGTATTATAATTTTATAATTTTGTGGTGTTATAAACCACTTTATACTTTCAATAAACAGGAATCAACTCTACTTAATTTATAATGTAAGAAAGAACTCAACAGACACCTCCGATAGCAATTTGTCTATGATTGAATCTATCTTCATCATTTTGGAAACAAGAAAGATTGAAAAGAACACTGTCCAAGATTACATTATTCATAAAGAGAAGGTGAAACAGCATGTCAGAGTAGAAATTAAAATTAAGCAGTAGAATGCCAGTAAACAACCAATTGTTTAGCGTACTTCCAGATCAAACGGGTCTAAATTTAGAGGTTATTTATCATTTTCCAGCAGGCATGAAGAAAATTTCTGCCCTATCGTAGTGAAAGAGATCATGAAAAACCAACACACATTGATTAGATTATGATGGCCTATACTTTGTTTTATGTTTCTGATACAGAAGCAAAAGAATTTACTGAAATATTAACTTGTCTGTCTCTAATCCCTTGTATATAAAAAAATGCAGTGACAATAGAAAATTTCTCAGAAGCTTCTTTTTTTTAAGATATTTAAAATGTTCAATTATGTGTGAATATGTGTATCTCTGTGTGGATTTATACACAAGAGAACAGTGCTCCTGGATGCCAGAAGAGGGTGTCATATTCCCTCAACCTTGAGTTTGCAGGGAGTTATAGGCTGACTGACAAAGCTGGAACTAAACTCTGGTCTTCAGTAAGACTAGTAAGGATCATTAACCCCCAAGAATCTCTGTATCCCTGCACTTATATGGTCTTTCATTTGTTTGTTTGTTTTTTACAAGACAGGGTTTCTCTATAGCATGGAGCCTGTCCTAGAACTCTGTCTGTAGGCCAAGCTGGTCTTGAATTCACATTGTTGCCTATTTCAAATATGCTAATATTTTATATAGACAATTAATATAGTTTTCTTGTTGTATCTCTGCTACTAAGTTCTTCATGGTATGATTTTCATAAAGTAGCAGTAATATTGGATCATTTCATTATATAAAAGTTTTCACTGATCTGCCGTTCTCACAGTACAAAAATTTAAGTCTGAAATATGAAAACTATGCTAAACTATCATGTCACATGTAATTAGTACACCCAGCGAGAAGTAAAAATATGGCCACATTTTCAAAAGTAAAATTTTCAAGATGAAGACAGAAGACTGCTAGGCATAAAATGAGGTTTTTCATGCCTGGTACAAATGGCAAATGCCATGTCTTAACCTTATCACTTACCACTTCATTTTCTGCTGTTCCAGGCAGTTGATTCCTGGTTTAGACATGGCCATGGAGCTTAAGATATGGAACTCTAATGCAATTGCTCTTGTAGGTTATACGATACTCAATATCTCATTAACAGACATCTTTTGTTCCTTAGGTATGTTGTTTTTCTCTAAAGACTCAAGCATTTACCCATGAAATCACCCTTTAAACCTTATTGTTAAGCACTATTTCCTAAGTAACACCATTGTTCTCACCATATGTTTACAGTCATAGATATAACTACAGATTCTTTTCATATTATTTTTCTTATACACATGAATTAATATCAAGAGCAGGATCCATATGTTCATTTTATTTCAATTTCTCATGTGAGGTTTAATATATGGCTTCTATACATATTTGTGCAATTGATGTATAATAATTGTAAGTATCATATGAAACTTAGCCACTAAGGTTACTCCTTCTCATAACGATAAAAAAAACATTAAAATTATTACAAGATTGTTTGGCACAAGCTGTAATCCCACCATCTGATATGCTAAGGATTTTGAGTCCAACTACAAAGTGAGTTTAATGTCAATGTAAACTTGATACAGAATGCTCAGAAAACAAACAAAAACCACACAAAGAAAACAAAAGCCTGACCTGGAAACAACTAAGAAAATTAGAAAACGTTTTGTGTTTGCAGACACTGGTAATAAAAAATGGTCTTTTAAAATCTGAGTTTCATATAAATGAAAATTTCCTTTTAAAACCTATTCAAAATGAGATGATATTGAGGGGATTACCTGCTTCTAAATAGGGCTGAGGCTACAAATAAAATTTTATATCTTTACTTATATATTCATCTTTCACTATAATCATTTTTTATATTAGGAAATTTTTAGATATGTGAATTAACAATTACTGTCATTATACCATGGCACTAGAAGAATAATTTTAAATATAAAATGTGCAACCAATGGAACATATTATATGGTTTTCTGTAGGAGATAATACAGAATTTAGAAGGATTCATTGAACATTATATATACACACACACACACACACACACACACACACACACACACATATAGTACATTGTATATTAGTATAAATACACAAGTATACACACACTGTAACTGCAAGAACACAGTTGAAATGCCTCTGTCTAGGCTATTTTAGGATTGTGTCTCTATAAAAATATTTCATGTAACTATATTAGGTAGACATTTTCATTACATACATACAGTATCTAGTAGAGTGACTAATCTGTTCTTTGTGGGTAATTAATAAAAACTGCAGTGTTTCATAGACAAATACATGGATTAAAACATGGTGTTTTGATGTTTCTTGTTCACTGTTAGGATGTGTTACTCATATTGGTTTAATGAAATGATGAATGGCCAGTAGCCAAGCAAAAATTATAGGCAGGGCTAGCAGACTAGGATAATTCTGGAGGAGAAAAGACAGAGAAGAGTTCCAGGCCAGACACAGAGAAAGCAAGATGAGAATGCCTTAATAAGAAAAGATACCAAGTTACGTGGCTAAACATGGATAAGAATTATGGATTAATTTAAGTTGTAAGAGCTTGTTAGTAACAAGACTGAGCAATAGGACAAAGAGTTTATAATTAATATAAGCCTCTGTGTGTTTATTGAGGACTGAATGGCTGCAGGACTGGGCAGGACAGCAACTTCTGTCTACAGTTTTTTATTTTATATATGCTTAGGATTTCCATGTAACTATTTTACTTAAAAAACTGGATCACCTTAAAATCATTACTATGGAAGGTATCACTTATCTTCTTATATGACATAGTCACAAAGAATCTATACAAACATAAAATGTATTTAGTAGTACCAAGAAAATATTACATCTCAACTAAATCACTAGAAAGATTACTAGTATCGGTTATGGGAGATAGTTTTATGTTATGTATGCTTATAACTAAAGTGAAATAAAACAAAAATGGGAAAAGCAATTCAATATCAAAGATGGATGCGTCAGCTCTAATAAGCCAATATCTTTAATAACTAACAAGCGTGTCCTTGAGATTCCTGGGAATAGTTGGCCAGTAGTGGTCCCATTTTCCGAAGCCAGGAAGAACTCCATTACATTGCAAGGTTCTTTTAATTGTCTTATTCTATGAAAAGAAAGAATATTGTTGAGAATAACTAATCCTATCAGCCTCAAACATTGAATTTAAAAATAATAACATAAATTATATAAAAAAACAGAAGAATCAGATTTTTCTGAGAGAGTTCTACAGTCTAAAATATGTTGTGTGAATTCTTTTTTTATTATTATTTTATGTTTATTTTCATTTTACGTATAGATCCCAGTTCCCTCTCCCTCCCTCTTTCCCTCTCTTCTACCCTCCAATGTACCCGACCATCCTCCCTCCCACGTGCCCCCCCCACTCCACATGAAGGATGATGCCCTCCAGGAGGGATTATCTAAATCTGTCAAGTCTTTTGAAATATAGACTAGTACTTCTCTCCTATCTCTAGGTTAAGGGAGTATCCCTCCATGGGGGATGTGCCCGCAAAGTCCTTTTGTGCACTAGGAATACACCCTGGTTCCACTGTGTGAGGTCCCTTAGACTGTTCAGGCCTTCTAGCTGAGACCCATGTTCAAGGGGCTCTGAGTGAGTCCCACGCTGGATTCCCAGCTATCAGTCTGGGGGCCCATTAGCTGTGTGAAATCTAATTGGTCTTTACAATAAAAACCTGGAGTCAGATATCAGAGTAAATGCTGAAAATCAGAGAAGTAAAGATGCCAGCCACTAGAGAGACCTTTTACAAAAGCTGTTAACAAACCCTCAGATTGAAGGGGTGAACCTGTCTCTACAGAGCCTCAGACTGAATGATCTAAGCTCCTGTGTCTTCCTGCCTTATATTCCTCTCTACCCAGCCATAACTCTCCTATCTCTAACTCCTTAGTACTGTGATCAAAAGTTTGAGCTCTGTTTTGCTTTCAGACTGAATCAAACTTGTGTAGCACGGGGTGGTCGTCTTGAGCTCACAGAGATCTGTCTGCCTCTGTCTCCTGAGTGCTGGGATTAAAGGTGTGAGCCACCACTACCTGACCTCTATGAATAACTGGTGTGGCCAGCTACGTACTCTGATCTTCATGCAAGCTTTATTTTTATAGCACAAACAAAATATCACCACAATTAATTTATGCAATTTTGTGAATTAGAAATATTTCATTATTCCTTACTATAAATATTTTCTCAGCAAAGCTGATTTTAATATTAAAAACAATTGCAGAAGAAAAATTCAGTTTAATGTTGATTTTACAAAGTATAATTTTGTCTTCCCTGTATTGATAGGAATCAGATAAAAAGTAATTATTAGCTTTATTTTTATAATTTCTACAAATTGCTTTATTGTGTGTGTATATATGTATATGAAAGTGTGTGCTCATGTGTACTCATCTCTCTCTCTCTGTGTGTGTGTGTGTGTGTGTATGTGTATGTATGTACGTATGCTTCAAAGACAGGCTTTGGTAATCAGTTCTCTCCTTCTACTTCATTGATTCCAGATATTGAACACAGATCATTAGGTTTTGTGTCAAACCCCATGACCTGCTGAGCCATCACACATTCTGTAACTTCTCAAGACTATTAACTTTTACAGTTCCCAGAATCAACTGGCGTTAACAACTCTTCCTTTTATCTTTGACTTTAACACAATTGCATTATTGTTCCATTCCTTTTCCTCTCCACAAACCCTTCTATTTACCTTGCCTTGCTTTCTTTCAGATTCATGGCCTCCTTTTCTATTAATTGCTATAAGAAGTGTGTGTGTGTGTGTGTGTGTGTGTGTGTGTGTGTGTGTGTGTGTGTGTGTATGCCTTAAACATAACATTCTTAGTTAATATATTATGACTTGTATGTATGTTTTCAGGGATGGCCTTTTGGTATTTGACATCAACTGGTACGTTCTTCTCTAAGAAAATTTATTTCTCCTACTTTCAGTATTCCTAAACACCTGTAGTTCCTTGTGAAGGGTTGAGGCCTTTAATTTATCCACTATAACCACTTTATTGTCCTATTGTTGCTCTTCTTGTTTAGCTTGTATGTTTCAGCAGTCACATCCGTGAGACCTTATGGGTATAGCTTCTCCTATTACCAAGACATAATATCACAATAAACTCCCTTATCCTGTAACAATTCTTCTCTCCCTCTTTATAAATGTTCCCTAAGTCTTAGGCGCAGATCAGTACTTGGTCAGTTTACTGAATTGAGACATGTGAGTGTGAGTGCAGGATGCATCTTCTGAAGCCAGGAAAACTCCAACACTGCCTGATTTGGTACAAGAAGTACTATAGTAATAGCAAGAGGCAGCCATTTCTCTGGGCAATTAGCTGATTATGTACTTTTGTCAGTAAGTATGGCAGGGACTAAGTATTATTTGTGCAATGAAAAATATAACAATGTGGAGAATAATATTCATGTTTAAAGAACATATATTATTCTATTATTGTATAACTTTATTTTATGTTATTTTTGTAAGAATCTGATAATTAAAATCAGTGGAAAACAGTTTATAAGTAAGCAAAAGGAATAGCTCTGTGTTATATAAAATGTCCCATTTAACTCTTATAACAATGAAAGATGGGGAGATCTTGATGTTCAAATGAGAATACTAAGGTATCTTTTTAATAAAAAATTTCTGACTTCTGTGACAGATGTTAATAATTGCATTAGTTTGATTTGAACAAATATAATAATTAGATTTTAATATTTGAAAAATAAAGCTTCCAATTTTTAAAAAATGTCCATAAAACAATTATGAAATCAATCTTACTCAACTTAACATTAATTTAATTTAAGAGATAATATAATTATGCTGAAACTATATCTCATCTCTAAAAAACTGAATGTGGCTCACTCTGCTTTAGCACAATTTTGTTCATTTTTTTCTCATTTGTTCAGCAAGTTAATACTATTGTGTTTAGTGTGGTAATTCAATCCTCCTACCACAATTCCTTATTTTAAAGATTAATGTGCTTTGTCTTCCTCCTACCATGAAGCTATTATCCATTCTTGTAATTCAAACTACAACATACTAAATTACCAAATGTGTTCCCAAAAAATTTGGTATAATTTCATATTTTAACTAAAATTGATTTTATGAGTTTCTAGTAACTTAAAATTACCAATACAAATATGTTAGTAGACTTTTATACTATTTTTTCAAACCTAAGAGCATAAGCATCATACATATGATTGATAATAAGGAGATCTATGGTATCGTTACAATCAGAGAAATGTCAGTGGAACTGGAGCATAGAGAACACTTAGAGCCTGTGTCTAGACGTCTGAAAAGTCCTAAATTAAGTCTCAGAATTTATATGATCATCTGAGTCATTAAGATCCATGGATGTGATATTCAGATTTTTAACCAATATTCTCTTTTTCTTGAAACCATAAAATAAGAACACAGTCATGTTTAAATGAATGGTTCAAAGCTAACCTTTTCTTGATAAAAAATGAAGTTATGCAGGAAGAAATATTTAGAGCAACAGGATCACAGAATGTCAGATAAATATATCAGTTTATAAGCATGAAAACATAGGCCATTGATTCTGAAGCAGATAGCAATAGAAATATCAGTAATTTGGATGGAATACCAAACTGAATTATATTTCTGTATTTTTATTCAAAAATTATTTCTTTGATAAAATGATTAGTGGTGATTTATAATAAAAGATACAATGTAAACAAAGAAGAAAATAGAACAGGAATACTGCTTCAGTAGAAGTTCTAGCACTCCAGCATCACATTTGAGTAAGGCTAGTACGTTTCAAGGTCTATGTTTAATGCTTTCCATCACTGTGAGTTGACACATGACAGAAAACAACTTTGAGGAAGAAGAAACAACTTTGGCCCCCATTTTCAGAAGAGGCATAGTTTATCCTGGCATGAGGGTAATGCTGTGGAACTACAGGCAGCTTGGCACTTGGTATTCAGTGCTTAAAAGTGCGATCTAAATGGTGCAGATCTTTTTTAGTATCTTCATTTCTCCTTTAAAGTATTGCATTCAGCCTGTAACTGTATGGCACAGGATGGTGCTACTCACATTCAAGATGAATCCTCCCTACTCAGTTAAATCTCTCTGGAAATGCCTCCAAAGACACCATCTGAATTATGTCTCCTGGATGGTTCCAAATATACTAAAGTGATAAGCAAAAGATAACCATCACAGCTACTTTACAAATTTTATTGCTGTCATTGCCTAGTGAAAGACATTTACAGAATATAAGTAGGCACTGCTGACAGTCATATGTAGCATACAGTTAACAGATTTTTAGGAAAAAGAACTCAATCAGAGAACCATAAATTAATTCATTATGTAACATTGGTCTAAGTCAAATCAAATCCACTGAAGTAAACCAACTCTGGACTCACAAGAAACTGGAGTTGATCATTCTTGGATATCTCATTCTTTCTAATCCAGAACAGTGTGGATGTCTTGGATCTAATGCAACCTAAACCTTTGAAGAGGAATGTCTGGTCTTTACCAGGACTATGTTCCACAATGTGTCTCCTCACATTCATCCCTGGGTGACTCTCTCTGCAGGTTGTGAGAAGAATGACTGTGCTCTTCTCTCTCCAGTAAGAAACTACAGTCATTCTTCAGCACACCATCTTGATCAATAACACAGGGAAGTAGAAACATATGGACACACAACCCCAATTCTTTTTGACATTTGTTAGTCTTTCATAAACCAAATGAATCCGTTCTGTCTCTTTTTCTATAGTGATTTCAGAAGGTAAAACTGTGAGAGAAAACAAAATGTTGCTGGGAGAGGAAAAGTTTACTCATGGAGTTTATGCTTTTTCATATTATGAATTTGCTATGCTTGACTTTCTTAGATACACATAAGAAACATGAGACTGTCACTGAAACTTTCATTTAATGACCTGTCTTCCTGGAGTAACATTTGTTCCCATGTAGGATACTCATTTAAAGCTCCTTTAATTTTTTTTTTTTAAATTGTATTTTGAGTAGGTTACAAACTAGCAAAGCCTCATGGAGTCTCTGTAGGTATTTTCAGTTTGGGTTAACTCATTCCCACACTTCACATTGACACAACCCCTGTCCTACATGATTAAACCTTTAGCTCTCACTA